GCGTTTCGAACGTGCGTCAATACACTTCCCCACTACAGTTTTCTATACTCCGTTACATTCTAAGTGCCAGCGTAGCAGTCTAGCAGAGGCTAGAGTGCCTTCATACACACGCGCGCAGAGGCTACAAGAGCGAGCTGCGATCTTTCAGCGTCCCTGTCAAGCACGCGCGCTCGTGCAGTGCGAGCCTCGTTCAGGGGAACATGCTTTGGCATGTAGCTTCAACTTTGCTATCAGGTAAAGTGAACTATACGGGCTCACGGAAGCTATGAAAGAAAGCAATAAAATAATAAAAAAAAAGAAGCTGAAAGGAATGTTTATTGCGACGCTGAGGCCGCCAGCTGCATACTTCTTCTTTTTTTTTTCTTTTTTTAGACGTTTTGTTATCGCGCGTTTAGAGTGCTGGCAGATGCTTGCATTCGAACGTGGCACGTGCAAAATTGAACGTTACAGAGCCGCCTAGATGGTCCTGCCAGCATAACATGGTCGCGTCCTGGGGACGCGCTCGCGCCCCCTGCCCGAGAGCAACGGGTCTATTGCTCGTATTCGCCGCACTCCCGCGCGAGGGCTACCGGGAGCCAGCGCGTGATGCATCCTGGTCCGGCGTCGCTGGCGCGGCCGGCGCGGAATACGGCATGCTCCATTTTGGCGCCGAGGCAGTCAGGCTGCGTCGAACGCCACGACGCCAGAGTATAAAGCGTCGGGTTTTCGCCGACGTGACGTTGCTGTGACGCGCTCGCACGCGCGCACGCGTTACGTCGGAGTATAACAGAGCCTTTAGATCGATTCTCGCGAGCCGGATGGACTACGTCAGGTGAAACCGCCTTCAACGTTCTGGGGGACGGCTGCCATGATAACTGCAGTGTATTCTTTGGAATACGTATGTTTCGAAGCGCAGCGTCTAGATGGCGTTCCATTGTACCGATGGAACACGCAGTTTTGAAACGAAAATCGAGATGGCGCTTCAAACGACGGGAGGCGGGCTGAATAGAATGAGCGGAGTTCCACAACTAAGGTGGTAACTTTGACAACCCTGTGCAAGGGCTCGTGCCTCTGACGTCACGCCCGACAGTGGCGCTGGCTGTGGAACTGAGAACGTACAGATGCTTCGCTCTTTGACAAACGGCTTTCTGCGCATCAACCCCTGATGGTTAATGATCCTGCTCGGACTCTGGGCACCGCTTTTTGTCGCTAGTGCGCGCACAGCACACACTCCCCCGAGGTTTGAGGCTGGATAAATGGATGCTAACGGCTGTACCTTTTATAACGGGCGGCAGATTGCGCCACCAACCTTAGAAACCAAAAGTATGATTCCTCCCCTCGCTAAGGCGAGACTGGGGTTACCGGACGGATTACTTTGCGAAGCGATTTTCTACCCATGGCGGCCAAACTAGCATTTGAAGCTCAGTTACCTGAAAAGAGGAGCTTGAAAATGGTGTTAGTTTATTCTGCGGTACTTTTGGCGATCTCCACCAGGTGTCTTCGAACCTGATTTCAGGGTTTCATATTTAGACGGAGCCATGAATATCTGACTCGCAGCAGATAACTGCGAATCAGATATTCACAGCCAGGCGCTGTGAATACCTGACTTGCTCAAGAAGGCAGGCGAGCGATCCTGCCGTCACAGCTTTCGGTTCTTGCCGCTAGGCGCCGTCAATTTCACTAGAATGACTTAAAAAAATTGACAAAGTGGAGAAATATTGAGGACGATACATTATGGCCGCTATTTTACAGACGGCAAACAAAAGCGGATGTATAGTGTATTTAGCTGAGTAGTTCACTTCTGGAGAGTGTTTGTGATGGCGGAAGGCTAGCGACGACAGCTTCAGCGGCGTGTTCAAAGTACGGCAGGCTTGCTTGAGCTCTGAGTGATCGGGAAAGCCTTCGCTTCACAATAGACTCTCTCAGAAACTCCATCGAGCAACATTGGTGGCCGCCATTGTTTAGGCACGAAGCGTGTGATTGGATCCGAAACCTCGCCGAACGCTGACACAACCCTCGTGTCCAATGAGCGCTCAGAGCATGTTCCCGAACAATGGCGGATTCGTAGGACTGGTGCAGCACCCACCAGACGGCGCGCACTTTTGAAAGGCGTCTATTATGGTTGACTTTTAGTGAAAGAACTTCGAGCCAGAAGAAATCGGGCCGCGTGAAATGTTTCCAAATTAGTCTATGAATTTAAACGAAATGCCCCTGTGTTAAATTTTCCGCAAGGCACTCGGAAAGCCAATCACTCAAATCTACAAAAAGAGTCGATGAACAACGATACCTGAATTGTGTTTACATCTGAAAATAAACTAGAGATATGACAACTGCGCAAAATATGCACCTCTGTCCAACAAGGAGGTGAATTACACGAGAAACTATTCTAAAAAAAAACACACACAATTAGGTGGTACCTTACACCTTAAAAGCTCAGCTGAAAAACACACAAAAAAATCTAACAAAACTCTTAAACATTTCGATGGTTCTTAAACCGCACAAGGTTAGGGCTAGATGACGGCTCGAACTCATGATCTGGTGAATCATAACCTATTCCATCGCCGAGAGCGAAAACGTAAAGCACACACGCACAGCGATTTTACACCCATTAGACATTCAGGACTTCAAGCGAAAGTAGGCGGCGGTACTGCAATACATAATCTGACGGTAAATGTCTACAGCGGGGACTTTCTATACCGGAAACACACGAGAAAGCTCATTGAACGCGAGGGCGCGATAGGCACCTTCTACCTCGGACGGGGTGTCCGATTCTGAATCAACGGCAGTCGGCTTGCGCGTCAGTGCGACTCGGATCGGAGCCTTTCCAATTCCTAGTCCTCCGCCGCCCCCCCCCCCCCCCCCCCCCCCTACCCCACCCCGCTAACAAAAAGTAATGTAAAAAAGAAAAAAATGCAGCAACGGCTCCTGTTTCCATGAAGGCATCAATCCGCTTATAGAAATATGACGTCTCTTGCTGCACTTTCTCCTCTCTCTCTCTCCGACTCAGATTCTTTTTTTAGCTTTTTTTGGGCCGTTGCACCTTATCTCCGGCTAACAGCCCGGGACTCTGAATGCAGCGGTCCGTGAAGCGGTACAACACCGTTGCTCTGGGGACTCCGACGTTTCAAAGCTACGGCGTCGAACGCCTCGCAGCAGACGATGTTCAACCCCACGTTGAGCGCTTTCCGATACCTCTTTTTTTTTTTCAACTGCCGGCGTCCAGCGCCGCCTGTCGCAGTTTAAAGCCCCGGGAAGCGTAGAGAGGGCGCCATATTGCTTCCGAGCATGACTGACTCCCCAACCTTTCCCTACCCTCCCGTTTTCGAGAGAGAGAGAGGAATGAAAGAGAGAAAGAGAGAGAGAGAAAAGGGGGATGGAAAACTGATTTCTTTCAGCAGCCGTCGACGTGCCGTGTTATTATGGACGGCGGGGGAAGGGGAAGGGAGCCATTTTTGCATATTGCTCTACCATGTACCGTTTTCCTTCCTTTCCGTCGTTTGAATTGCGAGCCTCTGCGTTTTTTGGTTTCTGTATTATCGGGGATTTCACGTATCTTTTATTTTCGTCAATGTTGCTTTAAAGCCGTGTGGAGAAAGCTGCGCCGAGGGAAAGGGAAAGCGAGTGTTGTTTTGACGGCACCCCGGGGTGAACGCGAAATGGGTTGTCCGCGTGGGGTCCTGAGGTTAGGCGCCAAAGCGCGTTCCAATCAGGCCTTTTTTTACCCTTCCTGTTCGACGGCGGTTGTTAGAAGGCCTCCCTTTTCGATGGGTTTAGGGTAGTTTATTGCGGTTTAGAGGTAGTTGGCTTCCCCTCAGGGACCTGACGCATATTTGTCGACGATAATAGACGTGGACAAACCGCGGATGTTGATATAGCCTTCATCGTCGGGTTTAAATTAGGCCAGATTAATTACCTTGTCGCCGTGTCTTTCATGATTTTTTTTTTAGACCGCATTTCGCTAACAACAGCTAAGTGGAAAGTTGGGCCAGTTGGTTCATGGTTCTTTAAATAATTAAAAGCGCCGAAAAAGACAAGGCGAAAGAAGTGGAAGACACAAAGCGCACTCGCAACTGTTGTTTATTTTGAAAAGTACATGCATTTATAGGCCCCAGAACCCTGCTTGCTTCTCTCAAATATTCAAGCTCACTCTTTGACAGGGCGAGTGACGTTTCACTAAGACACTCAACGACCTTATCCCTAACTGCATACGCCTCGTGCACCTCTCTGCTTGTTCGGTCGCGATAACGAGCCAAAATCTTAATGTCATGTAGCACTGGCGTACACGGGCATCTATTGCAATGAATGGCGAGATGGCCAGACGGGCTGGCTCGCGTGGCAGCCGCATGCTCGCGGGCGCGGTCATTCACGTATCTGCCCGTCTGGCCAATGTACACAGCGCCGCATGACAGCAAGATTTCATATACAACTCCTGAGGCACACTCGGCAAATTTTGTTCTTTGTTTTTCGCTGCAAAGATCAGTCTGTTGATCGGCACAATTGATTTTATGGCAAAGTCGGACCATCCGATTGGGCGCTGAGAAAACCACAGGTACGTTGAAACGCTGGGCCCCATTTTTTTAAATTATGTGACACTAAGTGTAGGTATGGAATAACCGCTGGCCTCATATTGGGTCTCTCGAGGGCGGGTTTGCCCGTTCCTTTTATCTTTTTTACCAGGCCTTCAGCAACCTCAGTTAAGAACCTTTGCGGAAAGCCGGCCTCTTGCAGATTTGTGATCGCGCGACAGATGTAATGGTTGATGTCGAGAAAACAAAATCTTCCCAAATCACCCGCCCTTCCCATCGGAAATGAAAGGTGACGAATGGATCGATTTGCGGGAATTTTTTCTCCAATGCCCACTTCCATTCGAGACCTTTCGTGTATTTTTTGTTTTTTTCTGCACAGAGAAGCTGCGTGATGAAGTGATTAGGCCGTCTGCTTTAGTTTTAGGCAGGCTGGATAAGGTAGGATACGAGCGTTACTAAAACATAACTGAGCATTGCTGTTCGTTAGTCGGGCACATGGGTATCTTACTTCTTAGCCACTATGGAAAGAACACGATACTTTACGGGAAAAGCTGCTGCTTACCTCTTGTCGTCAGTTCTGTAGTGGCAGAATCGGTGGCCGACACGACGCCAGAAAATATTGAAGGGATAAAGTAGCAATAAAAACTGTTGAAAGGCAAAAAAAAAAAAAAGCCGCAATTGTTAGGAAGTAATAAAGAGCGTTGGCGCGTTCAGTTTTCAAGGTTGACCTTCTATGTAATTTCGTAGATATCTATCTTCATTTCTCCTTTTGGTGTTTCTGAATGGTGGCATAAACATACCATGAGCGGGAAGACGGCGAGCTGAATGTTCGCATAGAAAAAGTACGTGCATAGTGTCATTTGTTAAAAAATTAAAGCCGTTTACAACTCCCAGTAACGCCGAATTAGAGCGCAGCTCTTGAGGAGGAGGAGGGGAGGGTACGGAGAGGGGGCTATGCCCCTCCTCCTCTCCTGCTTGCCTCCCATTTAGAGCGGAAAAATTCTCCACTAAATTTAGCGGGGAAATTTTTTTGCTGGATTTAGCGGGGTATTTTTTTCGCTAAATTTGGCGGGGAATTTTTTCTGCTAAATTTAGCGGGGACAATTTTCCGCTAAATGTAGCGGGGAAAAATTTTACGCTAATTTTAGAGGGAAGAATTTTCTGCTAAATTTGGCGGCGAAATTTACCCATCATGCACCGCGCGGTTACGCCGACGCCCACGGCGACGCTGCTCAAGCCGGAAACGGGCGCCTAAGAGCTGCGCTCTAAAAACAAACAGACAAAAATAATCCGGAAATAAAGAGGGAAGAACACACTAGAGCGCTTACTGACAACTGATCTTGATTTGCGTGTGAATTGAGTTGCTTTTGAAGAGTGCCTCTTAGAGTTATTAATTGAGCCGGACTCTCGCTTCCTTTGACGCTGCAGACCTGTACCCGTTCTCGGACGACGGGCCGGCGACCCGCGCCTTCCTCAGCCGCGTCTTCGAGATCCTCTGGCAGTACGTGGACCAGCAGCAGGACCGGAGCAGCAAAATCCTCGACTTCCACATGCCGGACAAGCTGATGCAGATGCTGGACCTCGATCTGCCGGAAGACCCATTGGACCTGGGGCAGCTCTTCAAGGACTGCAGCGACGCCCTCAAGTTCCAGGTCCGCACCGGTGAGTTCGCTAAAGGCCGCAGAGCTGCAAGTATTCGCAGGACACAATATTTGAGCACGTTGAACTCGAGGCATGTTCAGAACGAGCATCGACTTATCGTCTGCCCTGTTGTCAGCGGACATTTTTTTGCAGCATGGTCAGCTAAGGCAGCTAGTGAATGACAACGAGAGCCCTTTCGAAAAATCGAAACAATTGTGGCGGCTTAGTGCCGTTCACGGCTTTTTGCGAACCAATTGGTCACGGATTCGATTTTGAATTGGCAACCTCCATTCACGACATCCCGTCACAACCGAATACAGTGCATGCATTTTGAAATATGTGACTTTCCCTGAATATATAATTGACAACTTTCAGCGATGGTGGAACCTGGATGAACGGCTTCAGATTGAGCGTGGTTGCTTACACCTTCCTGACGTAAAAGTATGAGGTACAGCTCTTAGATCCTTCGTGTTTCACAAAATTAGCATTATTTACACGTTGCAGGACTAACTTAGCACACGTGTTCTACGACAATCATCCAGTTGATCACAGCCAATTTGATGGAATCTAGCGCACCCACTATAGGCTGTAAAAGTGGGGGTACGGTACGTGTTGCCCTAGCAGGTAAACAATAGAAAAAAAAAATGTACTGTGTCCTAGGCTCCTTAAATAATCCGTGACCCGGGAGGTTCATGTTGCACTCTGGAGTGCTAGCCATGCCGCCAGGAAGGTAAGTCACACGGCCGGTTGTACTACAACTCCCCACTTACCGCTCATTCACACTGGAAGCGGAGCCGCGTTCGGAAAGTGGTTGCGAACGCGGTTGCATAAAGATGCAGTACAATTGCACGCGCACTTGATGACATCAATTGCGCGTGCAATTGTACTGAATCTTTATACAACCGCGTACGCAACCGCTTTGCGAACGCGGATCCGCTTCCAGTGTGGATGAGCGGTTTGTCTAGGCAGATCCTTACGGCCGCTGGAGGTTCGTGTTTCAACGGGGGCTCTCACGAAGTTGAACGGCTGCAATACAAGCGAGGCGTTGATTTTATTTTTATACAGTGCTGAGATGGACTACAACGTCACCGGGTCGATCGAGACCGAAACCACGCCATTCCTCTACATGGCCAAAGAGGTTCCAAATTGCAACGCGCGCAGTGTTGCGTGCCGGGATTTTTCGAAGTGCCTGCGCCCCCCTGGTGTCGAGCATGTCGCAAGAAATCCCTACAGTGACTGCAATGTACATTACGTCTGGCCACGACCCTAGTTCTAGCACAGCTAGAATTTACCGCCAATGACGTTTAAGTGTCAGTCATGCACGAGTTTATAATTTCAGGGGAACGAAAGAATGTGAGTGCTTCGTTGTCACCGAGTTCACCAGAATCTGTCTGTTTTCATTTTATATAAATTCGTGTTCTGTGGCTACAAAACTAAATTCAAAGAGCTGTACTTCGTAATTTTTTTAAAAAAATATTGGACGAGTATTTTTTGCAAGTATTTTCGAGTGCCACGTCCGCGAAGTCCGTCCCCTTTTCAGTATTAGGCGGGACGCCGTCACTCGGGTTGCACTTATTTTTTTTATTGGTTTCCCAGGATCCGAAGTATCTCCTACGCATAACTACAACTCGGATGAATATCATCAGCAAACATCCGTCGTCAACAGCAAACTTCGTCAACAGCAACAGCTTCGCTGATAATACATATTGGTACGGCACGACATACGAGTATATATACACACAAACACACACACAAGAAAAATAAACATTGTTCTGTAATACGTCAAACGCACATGGCATTTTTCGAAGGAAACGGTAGACATTGTTTACGCAGCCTGCTCCACAAAAACACACATAAAAAAAAAAAAAGAAGCCGCCCTGGAGAGCCGACACCCAGGACGCGGAGCTGTTTGCGGAGGGTGACCGCAAAAGAGTCACTCGTGGCACAGCCCAGCTTCCGGACCAAGTGGGGCTCCCAGGGGGCGCCCCAGGTCGGCTTTTGGTGCTCCGCCCCATTCCCCCTCTCTTTCCCTTCGGCGTCTGGGGAGCTCGGGCAATTAAATGGGACCGCTCGACCGTGGATTAGGGATCGGCGTAGGGATACAAATTCCCCACTCAGCGCGGGGACGGTCGGGATTTACTGCGCGCGGGGGGCATTCCCTACCGGGGACGCGGGAGCCACCGGAGGCCGGAACTGGTAGCACTGTCCGCGACTTCGGAACAACCTGCCGGCCACATCAATCATCGTGGGAACCGAATTGGCGGAATATTCGCGTGCAGCGTACCACATAAAACGCACCGCTAGGTGGTACCCCCTCAGTTAGAAGGAATTATAGTCCACCTCGATCAAAATATTATGATCGCTTTCTTGTTAAAATTGCAATGTTCGACATTGGCAACTTTTTTTCTTTTGAGCCCTACAAAAGTCAGTGAATTATCTGTTAAGTTGATAAACCAAAGATACCAGTTCGCAAGCAGGTCTACATGAACCTAAACAACCTAGCAAAAAACAAGAAAGAAAAAGAAAACAGACAATTTCTTGTTTTTACTTTTCCCCCAAGCACTCTTAGAGCCAAGTTTAAAAATAAAACAAAATCGAGGTTAAATTGAAGATTATGTGACCCTGAGCAACGATGTTTCTTATGTATGATCATATCCTTCTCAATGACGTGTCGTAAACTTTGCGTGTTTGCCTCGCCAAACACCGGGCTCTCTCCGCAGTTTGCAGTGGTTCACTCTTTCAAGGCTCCGTGCGAATGTGCACCTGCAGGAATTTCTTGACGTCTTACAAGGACCACTACGCGCGTGCTCTGGTATGCTAAAGAGAAGCTCCGGATCTTTTTTGAGCCACCCAAATTAAACAAATTTTCGGAATACTCGGGCTCATCTCTTTCCGGCATGCCATTCATTATCTCTAAATTCAATAAAGCCACCAAAAAAAACGGAAAACTAAGCTGATGCCAAAACTGACATTCAAATCTTCTTGTCCACTCCAATGGGGAAACGTCGCACGTTATATCAATCGCAAGTCGAGCGAACAGTCTGCAAAACACAGTGCTTAGAGCATTTCTTGTTGTTTTTACTTTGCTGGCGTGAGCTTATCCAGCATTCATTTTCAACCAACAAAAGTTTCGTTACCTGTTGGGACCAGGGATGGATGGATCGATCGATGCTAACCGCTGTACCCTTTATATCGTGTGCCAGCTTGCACCACCTAGCCTAGTTGTACGTCATTCAATGCTCCCTAGATAATTTCCACTAGTCTTCCTATCTCCTTTTTGTTATTAAAATGCTCTCAACATTCATTCTTTCATTCTCATTTGCAAACCTGGACTATGTTTCCAGTGTTGCCAGGAGAGTGTCTGAACCTCTCGTACTAAAATTTGAAACTCTAGTCACTTCCTAAAAATAATTACTGTGGCTCGTAAGCCGTGTTACTAGTTCAGATGTGTCCATTTAATCTGTCGAACGACATTTGAGGCAAATCATTGACTCTCCGAATTTTGGCGGCCTCCTAAGCTTTCTGAATTCCTAATTGCAAAATAAAACCCACTTTTTTTTTTTCGAACGGGGATTAGTTTTTTAAAAGTTTAATAAATTAGTAAGAAAAAAAGCGGAAAAGGCCAATCAATTGGAATTCATTGTAACCGCGGTAGCGCAATGGAAGCGACTGATGGGTGTGTTAAACTGCTCAAGGTTGCCTTTTTGAAGCCCGTTGGAGTCTGACCGTCGTCGAGTTTCGCTCCGCTCCTAATCCCCGGAAGTCACCAAGATAGCGAGGTCTCCTTAGGACGGCGTAGACAGAGCTTCAAACTAGGCGTATAGTTTATGGCGCTCAATTACGATCCTAAATACCTCCAACGACCGCTACGCAAAAAAAAAAAAAAAAAAAAAAAAAAAAAAAAAAAAGATTACGATTCCCGACAAAACAATGTTGTATAAATCAATAAAAGAAGGACGCGATGGAGAGCTTCAATTTCTGGTACGTAAAGGGGACTACAAATAATCTTTCACCCGTGGCGCATAATTCTTGCGGTTTTGCGACGTTTGCGCGCTTTTAAGGCTTTCGCGAACTCCGAGATATAATCGGCAATTAACGGCGAACCAGTGTCAGCTATTTGCCATCCAACTGAGATAATGACGTAAAGCACTTATTAAACATATTTTGTAAGATGAAGCGTTTTTTATTGGCAGATCGCTGATTTTATTCGCATAACAAGCGCCGAGAGTCTACCCGACTCCCGCTATGACAGGTATTGCGTTTGACCTTATTCAGTTTATTGACAAGGCCAGCTTGTAGGCATGATATCACTCGGAGTAATAACGATCTGTTATAGCTCCTGCTACGTAAACAAACAAAAAATACGAGCGCTTCGACTGAAGTCAACTGTTTGTAAACATTAAAAAAAAAGTCTCGAAAAAATCAGGTTAAGAAAGAAAGAAAGGGAGAAAGAGAGAATATATAAATAATGTGTGTGGTGAGATGAGTTTTGGACGTGACCACGTGGTTCTTCAGTTTTTTCTACATGTAAGCCTACGTCTGTCTAAAACAAAACCAGAATAAATGACTGGTATCGCTTTAGTGGCACGAAATATGGTTACAGCCGAAATATTGCATCAGTGTGAATCTGCGTACTCCACTCATACCGATTTTATAAATGCGACCACCCGCTCTTTAGCGAGTGGCAAGCGGTTTAGCTTTTAGTCGAGGAACACTGGCGCAGCGCCCTCGTGACGTCACGTAGCGGTGGAGCTGCGGTTGGCTGGTTGGACCGCGTACCGCAGCCCCCTTGTGGCGTCACGCCACGGTCGTATACGGCCGATGATCACTGTTGCAAACCCTCTAGCGCAGGGGCCGGCAACCCACGACCCGCAGGGCAGTTTCATATGGCCCCCGGCACGACGCCAGAAATGAAGCCCCCCCCCCCCTCCCGCCCCCCCCCCCCCCCCTCCCCTGCAGCTCCCTCGCAGACCCAAGAACCACACGGAACTTACCACCACAGATGGGGTTAGACAGGAACA